TATCTATGATCTTATTTAGATATACAGACCAGATCTCTGAGGAGCTCGGTGGAGCCCTCCTTGGCAACAGGCCACGCCCCCAGGAAGTCCCCTGATGTTACTGAATGATTAATGACCTACAGCAATGCTTTCCAACTTTAGCAACTTTCAGATGATTGGACCTCAACTTCCAGAATTCCCTAGACAGCCACTGTAGTTGGAGAATTCTGGGAGTTGAAGTCCACTCATCTTAAAGTTGCTAAATTTGGGGAACACTGGCCTAGGGCTTGGTAAAATTCCAGTACCCCTGACTGGCCACTTAAACAATAAACTGGTTACCAACCAAACTTAGTTATTATTTTATGGTTGGAGTTATTCTGAGCCTTGTTCTTTAGTTGATGCCAAGGCATCACTATCAATCTTGTTATACAGATTGTTTTACTGGCAGAGTAAAACTGTTTAAGATCTATTGCCAAATGAAATATTTTTGCAATCTACTTGATGGGAATGTCTCTCTCAAGGTGATCTATAAATCTGTCTAGTCAGTTAAATGACAGTAAAATAGAATTTTAAAAAACTTACTTGCTGTTAACCTGCACAGCAGCTGCAATGATACTTGCAATGCCTCCCAAAAGCCCAGGTAAGCCATGTAGATTGTGGACACCGCAGGTGTCTTGAATTTTCAGTGTGGCCAGCAATGGCTGGAAGAGGAGGGAAAGGGTTATTTTGTAATCACCTTTAGAAGAAAATAAAGCTTGCTTGTCTTCTTTTTCACTTTCCATTCTATACAAACTAGCATGCTTTATAAAATATATGTAAGTATATTGCAATGCAGTTTCTTGATTTGAGAAACATTGATTTGAGTCTGCTGGCCTACAAAGAGATGGGATGGGATGCAAATATTCTGTCTTTCACTGGAAAAATAAAATAGGCTCAGAACCTAATACTCACTTAAACAGACATGAATCAGGTCTTCCACAGATGTCTTTCTGATTGACAGCGCATAATATTAATATTACATGTAACTATAATTCAGAGATACTGGTTGTACTGCTTACTAATATATTTCCAAATGCAATTATTCCCCATAATGCCAATATAGCTCAAGGTTGGAGTAATTTTAAGATAGTCTATCCAGTATAGTTTTTGCCTATCCCACCCAAGGGTTCAGATGTTTGCTGAAGAAGCCAAAGAAGCCATCTATCAAGTGTGCCTTGAAAGTAGCTCTTCACTGTGTGGGGTCTCTGTCCCCAACACAGCATGCTTCCTATGATAGAAATCTGACAAACCCTGGGAAACAGGAGGAGAGAGAAAGGCAATTTGCAGAAGAGATTCCTTAATACCCATATGCAACTATCATGCAACCATGTGCAAATATCAAGGCTGGTATCTATTAGTTAAGCCTTCCCTAACAAGGTGTCCTAGTAGTAAATTACAACTGCCAGAATTCTAATGAAGATGGCTTAGAATAATGAAAATATAGAAAATGGAGTTTGCTAGGCAGGGGAAGCTGTATTAGAATTACTTTTCTTTACAAAAAATACTCACAGATAAATACTTATATCCAAGAACTGAGATGATTCCTGCTATGCTACCAATTAATAAAGCCCCAACAGGCAAGATGTCCAGATCAGCACATGAACCCACAGCAACACCACCTGCCAAGGTGGCATTTTGAATGTGTACCTGTGGAAGACATAAAATATGACCAGTAAGAGGAGATCCCCAATGCCAAGGGAAATGATTTTTGGCAGAAGCATAGGATATCAATTTGCTTCAAATGATCTGAGTGTACCATAGGAATTGTGCAGCAGTTCATGATGGCCTCTATGTATGACCCTTGAAATAAGATACATAAGAACACTGCCTTATAAGAACCAGGTCAACCCATGGACCTCCAGAACCAAAAATCTGTATTTCTACTGACGAAGTTTCATTTATTAGACAAGCAGCCTGGAACTGATCTATACAGAATATGTGACTTGCCACTAATTTAAAATCTATGAATACATGCTCTCTTGGCAGTGGCTCATCAACTTTATATGTAATTTGTTTTCTGATTTAACTCTTATAAATGAAACTTGGGAGTTTCATATATGTTAAATATGCACAGACTTAAAATAATGAAATCTCATTATCCAAGTTATATCATTGTAGTAACAATCCTGTTGATTTGTAATCAGTGGTCATTGGGATTTGGCTATTCCTATCCCTGTGATATCTGTATGGTCGCTAAGAATCAGCCTTGACTTGATGGCATAGAATCAATCAATCAAATCTGTGTAATTGCAGGGTAGCCACTATTATGATCCTTGTTATTGAAGTACAAGAGATCTACTGTCAGACCTGCCCCAATCCGATTCCTTAGGGGGGAAAAGGCCCTTGACTCCATTTGGTTAAAGCAAAGGGTTCTTTTTTCTAAAGGTGTAGGTTGCAGTAAATCAAGCCAGCTCTGAATTCTGCCATGTTCGCAAGACACACAGACACCCCACACAGCTCATCTCTCCCCTGTGACCAGTCCATTTCTAGTTAACTGGAGCTTGCCAAGTCATTTTGAGAACACTGAGATGTTTGGGGGTAATCTACATATTTCTCATGGTGCCTAGCTGTGGGATGCTGCACCTCCTGTTCTCACCTCCTGTTTTCCCATCATGTACACACACAGTTTTATTTATTGTCCTTTCATCCTCCCCCTTCTGCCTGCACTTCAAGCCTTTAATAGCAGGGTGCCTGTGAGGCACCAAACCAAGTCCATTCTTTTACAAAGAGTTTTGAAAACAAAAGGGTTACCATAAAATAATAATAAAAACACTACTTGAAATAAATAGCACAGAAAACAAATGTAAATATATAGTAGAAATAAAATAAGAAATAACAAATTAAAACAGCAGAAACTACCTTCAACTGAAGTTCAGTAATCACAAAACAAGAGTGCAAACAGTTGCTTGAACCTCCTTCAGAAAGCAATCAAGAATTAAGGTGCCAACACCAAGAAGACCCTGTGTGTGATGTATTACATCCACATAGACCAATCTTAAGGACTGGGCAGATTCATATTGGGAATGACAATATTTTGCAAAAAATTGTCATCAGTTAGTATACTTAAAGAATTTGGTCATTGCACATCCTGATCCAATGTGCAGACTGAAACTTATTTGCTCAAGCAGGTGTTGTTTGTTTTTGTTGTTTTTAGCCACTTCTCAAATGCTCATGTTTCTATCTGCTTTGAAGATGATACTTTCAGAAATTAGTGTTCTGGAAGAAAATGCAGTTAGAAAGCTATTTTATGGTCAGGATGCAAATGGGGGGGAGGGAAAAGTGAAAAGTTGTTTAAATTTGAATTGTGCAAAATGACACAAACAAGAAATAATGTCTCATCTAAGAAACATTTTAAACTTTTTGTGCTAAGAAACTGTTTAAATCAGAGTTCCTAAATTTATCTTTAAAATAACCTCCTGCAGAATTTCATTGTCGTATTTGTAATGTAGAATGTCTATAAATACTGTACATATGATTATCCAGCTGAAGTTAAAACCTCTAAGATAGTTTCAGAAGAAATATTTTAAACCACATGGAAGCACAATAATTGCCTGCTAATCATTAAAGTGCATCTTTTTTTCAAGCTTGCATGACCTATGAAAAAGTGCTGCTTTAATTATTCAAATTATCAAGTAGTGCGTTATTAATGCCACATTTAAAACAGACATATTTTTTTCAGGCTGTCCAGGAGAGAGATGCTTTGCTTATGCAAGATATGAAGCGCTTAACAAATACAATAGCAGAGTTGGAAGGGACCTTGGAGGTCTTCTAGTCCAACCCTCTGCCTAGGCAGGAAACCCTATACCATTTAAGACAAATGGCTATCCAACATCTTCTTAAAGACTTCCAGTGTTTGGGCATTCACAACTTCTGGAGGCAAGCTGTTCAACTGATTAATTGTTCTAACTGTCAGGAAATTTCTCCTCAATTCTAAATTGATTCTCTCCTTGATTAGTTTCCACCCATTGCTTCTTGTTCTACACTCAGGTGCCTTGGAGAATAGTTTGACTCCCTCTTCTTTGTGGCAACCCGAGATATTGGAACACTGCTATCATGTCTCCCCTAGTCCTTCTTTTCATTAAACTAGGCATACCCAGTTCCTACAAATGTTCCTCTTGTTCA